GTTATCAAACATTTTAAGAGGCTACACCACTAGTTCCCAGCAGGCGGGCTTCATGCTGCCTGGCCTTCCCAAAATACAAATCGGATCATGTCACCTCCTTGCTTCGAACCCTTCAATGGCTCCCAGTCCTTAGAATAAAGTCCCAAAGGCTCTGTGTGACCCAGCTGCTGCTTCTCTCTCAAGCATCATCTGATGCCATGCTCTCCTCTCCTCCCCTCCATGCCAAACGACCAGAGTCCTCTCAGATCCACAGCCCACCATGTTCTCTCCTGCTACCTGCATCTCTTACCTCCTCCCTCTTCCGACTAACTCCAGCTCATTCATTTGCTCTCAGCTCAAACATCACTTCCTCCGTGAAGCAGTTCTTACCCCTAGACTAAATGCGTTACACGGTGCCGTCCCACACTCCCTCGCAGCCTGTTCCCATACCCCTTTTACCACCTCTGAAACCTGTTAATTAATAATCATGTGTTTAGTGACTCTCTCTCCACACTAGAAGCTTCAGGTCAAAACTCTGTCCGTCTTCTCCACCTTCACATCCTCAGAGCCCAGACGATGCTTCACACAGAGTCAGACTCACTATATACTGGCTGACTGACTGATTTTCTAAACTCGTGGCTCTTATTGAAGTAGTGAGTCAAAAAGAAGATTAAATAACACATATGGGAAGATTTATGCACTACCTTTTTTTTTTTTCAAACTATGTAGCTGCTGTGCGTTCCACTTCTCAGTGGCCTGGGGTTCACCAGTTCAGACCCCGGGTGCGGACATGGCACCGCTTGGCATACCATGCTGTGGTAGGCATCCCACATATAAAGTAGAGGAAGATGGGCATGGATGTTAGCTCAGAGCCAGTCTTCCTCAGCAAAAAAAGGAGGATTGGCGGCAGTTAGCTCAGGGCTAATCTTCCTCAAAAAAAAAAAAAAAAAAATATATATATATATATATATGTAGCTGCTGTGATTAATAAAATACAAATTCAATGAAATTCAATTTCATTTTATTAATTAATTCAATTAATAAAATACAAATTCAATGAATTTAGTGTATTCATGGTTGCTTTTTCCTATTTCTTGTCTTAACCAACGAAATTCATCTACTGCACTATGGTCATGCGGGGGACCCCCCCAACACACACACACACACACACACACAGCCAAAGTGATATTAAAAGCAGTCCTCAAACTCATACTATTTAATAGAACAGTTAAAAAACATCCCATAATTGTGCCTATGGTTAATGAGGGAAGCTGTTTCCCAATTTATGCCAATAAAACAAATCCTTTAGTGTAGCAGACTACAAATGAGCCGCTTCATATTGAGCAGAAAATCCTTTTAACCACTAAGCCTTTTCTCCGCCGTTCTGAGAATGCCTGCAAGTTGCAAGTTCTAACAAACTGGTGAAAAGCAGAGTTAATACGCAAGTCCCTTCACAGGCGTTCTGCGTGGATCCTCAGTGATTCGACTTTGTTTAAAATTTACCAGGAAAAACCGTTTATAACATCTTCACTGTGATCCAGGAAGGTTTTTTGATAGGAGATCTAAAGGTTTGAGCATCACAATCCACAACAGACAAAAACAAATGAACACACACACAGTCACCCTTCAATCAAATGCACAACTATTTTCAAAGAAGTCATTTTTTTCCTCATTCAATCAATGTATATTTACTGCATCCCTACAAACTCACAAGAGGCACCAAGCTAGGCATACAAAGACAAGGTTTCTGCCCTCAAGGACTTCACTAACACCAAGAGCAAACGGCAGCAAGTGCTTCAGTAGTCATCACAAGGTGCTCTGGGAAGGGACAGGGCCGAGGACGTAAAGGCTCGTCTCAGAATTGTGGTCAGAAGAACTGTCTTCCAACCTAGACCATTTCACTACCAGAAATGCAGCTGGCTACCCGCCGGGACGCACAGATGCCCAAACCCACAGGTTCAAGGAAGCAGCAGTGGTCAGACGCACTTTATTAAATAAGAAGTCATGCGCCATTTCTAACTCTCATGTGTTTGACATTAAGTACATAAAAACTATGATCACTGCCATGTTAAACTAAAGGACTGTTTCTAAGACACCAAAAGCCTAAAGGGCTGATTTAAGTCTATGACACTTTGCAGGTTTACACACATATTGACAGTAACTATGAAATCGGCCAAACACCATTGACACTACTAGATATATACAAAACAACTTCAACAAGGTTGCCCTCAAGAATTAGCTCTGCAATAATACACTAGAAACTTAGAATTTTGCTGTTTTTAAAAACTGATGCAATAAGTTACCGTAAAATAATCTTTGGAAAACGACGATTTTCCCAAGCTAGATGCAACAATTTTAAAATCTAAATGAACCTCTTTCCATTTTATGGGCTGTATATAAGTCTTTCCATGCTTTACACTCAGTGCCTTGCAACAGCGTAACTAACCCTGCACCTAGAGTGCCATCATACAACCTGATACAGATACTAACTACTTCCCAGCTTATCATAATAAAATGAGAAGAAACTCAGACACAGCTTTAGGTTCTTTGAAAGTAGGTAGTAGATTCATTACGCATAAACAAAATAATAAGCCAGCCCAAGCTTGTACTTCCATTTCACAAAATTTTTATCACTAATAAACGTGAAAATTAATATTTACTCAGCACTCAATGCTATACGTTAGATACAGTGCTAGGATTAAATCAGATGGCGTGTATAAAATGCCTAACAGCTCTATTGCTAAGATTCCCACTTTAGAGGCAAAAAACTGGGGTTAGGGGCCAGCCAGATGGCGAAGTGGCTAAGTTCGCATGCTCTGCTTTGGCAGCTGGGGATTCAAAGGTTTGGATCGCAGCGCAGACCTACACACCACTCATCAAGCCATGCTGTGGTGGTGTCCCACGTACAAAGTAGAGGAAGACTGGCACAGATGTTAGCTCAGGGCCAATCTTTCTTACCAAAAAAACCCCAAAAAACTGGGGGTTACATGAGTTGAATGGTCCACGATCCCACATCTGGTTAAGGCAGCAGAGCGAGGAATCAAAGTCGGGTCTTTCCACTATACAAGTGTTTGTAACCTGGTGCTCCTGAACAAACTCTCTGGAATGGTATTTATAAGCGTGCATGTTTTCTGAGGAGAGGATGGAGGGCTTAAATTAGATTCTCAGAGGCCCACAATTCCCTCCCCCCCAAACGTTAAGAACTGTGGCACCATACGTAATCCCTAGTGTAAGAACCAGAAAATATGCACTGGACTTCAACCTCTTTTACCAAGACTGTCACTTCCCCAGTCCAGGGCTGGGGGCTGGGGGCGGGGGGGGGGGGGTGGTGTACTCCACAGATTTAGTTGTGCTTTAAAATCCTTAGAGCAAGTCGAGACTTCCACTCCTGGACAAATTCCAGCATCTTCTGCCACAGGTTAAGTTACACAATAAATTGCAATACTGTATCAGTTTACATCCAATTCTGAGATTGCACAAATACTGACCAAGTTTATTTAGTCATTCCACTTTCCAAAACATGTTTCAGTCAACCAGTCCTCACTGCACTACCTGTGAAATAAGCTATCATTACATCTACTTCCAAGAAAGTAAAACACTGTCACCCTGAGGCCACGCAATAAATCAGCCACAGAATCAGGATCAAAAGTGAGAAGTTCGCACTTCCTGCACCTGGGATCTGCAAGACCATGTCATTTACCACGGAACAGCCTCCTTGCTACACAGAAAACACAGGGCAACTAACTACTATCTTCTCTACCAACACCACCATTAAATTAGAACCTAGTGGTAAATCAGTAAGTTAGGGCATACCCAGGGACAAGTGTGCTCATCTCTAAAAGCTGGGGCAGATGTCACAGGGCAAACACTCAGCACACGTCTGGCATGTGCAAAAGGAGATGCAACTACTGAAGAAGACTGGTTTAGTCCAGCACCTGCTCAGGTAGTTCTGTGACGGGCGTGGCACTCAGCTTAACACCTGGCGTCCTGTCCCTAGGCTCAATCTGAACCTGGGATCCATCCTGAATTTTTGATCAGAAAAAGGGAGTACTCATGCATAAATGAACTTCACCTTGAATTCCTTTAGTTCAAACCCCTCATTTTGCAGATTACGGAACTGAACCTCAGAGGAATGAAATGACTCACCCAAGGCCTCACAACTCAGGAGCAGAGATAGTTCTAGAAAGCAGTCTCCAGACAGCTATCCAGGATGCCTGCAATCCTCCTGAGCACTGGGACATGGGTCATGGTTACTGCCAGAGGCCTGGACAACCACCAACCAGGGTTTGCTACATTTCTGCCAGGCTAAGACTTGTCTCCTCTCACCTTGTGCCAGATCCCGTCTTTGCCTCCAGGCTCAGATCCCAAGGGGCACCGGCCTCAGCCTGCATCTTCTGAGGGACAAAGACAATTACTTACTAAAGCTAAGCCCATCAGAGATGAGGAAAATACCATTCTGCCACGAGGAATACACTTCACAAGGAGGCTATGTGAGCATGATGTTTTATTTATGGCCCTGCCTGATCAAGAGGACTTCCCCACAAGAAACGTCCAAAGCAAATAATTTTAAAGAAATGAAGAACTTTGTGCTTCCTTAACTGTCCTCCAAAGGCAGAAAAAAAGCCAGAGAAAGCAGGCGGGAGGACACCAAAGTTATAGGCTCAATGTGTCAGGACACGACCCACAAGTTTTGGACCAAGATCCATCTAGGAAACCAGGAGGGACACAGTCGCTCGAAGAAGGTGGGACGCTCCCTATTCACTTTGGCGACCAGCGCGTATTTGGACACCCTAGAACAAGTCTGAATGCGGGCTGCAGGTGCGCACGTCCGCGCCGCCCGCCCAGAGCCAAGCGTCCTCCTCTCCCGGAGGACCGGCGCTGCCGCGACCAGCCAGAACCAGCAGCAGACGATCTCGGGGGTTCCGGTGCCACCGAAACCCAGGGGTGCAACTACGCGGGTACAGTTCCCCCTCCCCCCCCGCCCCCCCACCAACACGCCGTCTCTCCCTCTCACACCCATCCCATCCCCAGACTCGCCCTCGACCCAAGCGCTTCCAAGTGGGATGCAATGCCCACTTCGGAGAATGAGATCTTAGTCGTGGGGACAAGCCAGGAGTCAGCTCGCATCCATTCACAAACCCGCGGAGGCAGACACAGACACTAAGGAGTTTGCTGCTTTGGCATTTTAAAAGCATACTATCAGGCAGCACAAGTAGACACACATATACAGGGAGGTAACCACCACGGGGAAGTCAACGACCCACAGGGAGGCTCCTAACTGTCCTTATCTCGGGCTCGGGGCTGAGCACCTGGGGTCCCTCTCCCTCTCCATGCCCCGGCGCGCCCTGCCCGCTGCCCGCGCACGCTAGGTGGAGAGCTGGGGTCGCCCGGCCGCCAGGACCCACGGGGGTTGAGACGGGGCCCACCTCCTCATCCTGCTCCTCCCGGGACGTGCTGCTGCCCCGGGGCGCGGGCGGCGCGGCTCCTCCGGGGAGCGGCGGCGGCGGCGCTGGGACTCCAAGCTCGAGCACCGCGCGCGCGGGAGCCCACGCGGCAGCCGGACAAGCACCCAGGGCGCCGCCCGGCGGCGGCGGCGGCGGCGGCTGCTCGCGGGAGAAGCCGCCGGGCTCCCCTTCCTCCGACAGAGTTTCTGAGCCCGAGGAGGACTCGGCCGAGGAAGCGCCCGGTGAGGACGCGGCGGCCGCCGCAGGGGCGGGAGTCCGGGCGCCGTGGCCGCTGCAACCGCGGGGCACCGGCTCCGGCGCCTCAGAAACTTTCTCCCCCATTTCCCTCCCGGGCCCGAAGTGTGGCCCGAGGCGCGCCCTCCGAGCCTCCGGGGAAAGCCGAGGAGGCTCGGCTACGGCAGGCTCTCGCTGCCGCTCCCGGGCTACGGGGAGCCCCGCCGGCGACTACATGGCCGCGGCACGGCCGCCGGAGCCCGCAGCCAAGTTAGCCGCCGCCCGGGCCCGGCGGCCGACGGGGGCTCCCGCGCGCGGGGACATGCCAGCTCAGGTCCGCGCTCGGCACTGCCCGTTCCTCCCAGCTGCGCCCGAGCCGCCTGGACTGCGGCTTCTCCGGCAAAACCTGCCTCCGGGCCGGAGCTGGGCGGCGGAGGAGACGGGCAGCCCGCGGAGCCAATGGCAGGGCAGGCGCGCCGGTGGGCGGAGGCTGCGGCGCCCCGGGCCGCGCGGGCGTCAGGTAGCGGAGGCGGGACCGAGGCGCCGGCTGCGGGGTCCCGCCGGAGCTGGGGGCCCGGGAACCGGAGACGGCGCCCGCACCCCGAAGGGCTAGAGTGAGCCCGGAGTCGGAGCATGAGACTGGCGCTCCGAACTCAGCGGAGGAATGGCTGGCCGTCCTTGGAACGCCATGGGGAGATGGCCCAATGGGGCAGTGAGACCCTGGAAAAGAACTAGACTTTGTTTCGAAAAAGTGGAGTCGAGGAAATTGACCAGAAGGACAAGGAGGAGGGCTTTAAGGGTAAAGAAAAACACACAGTCACGCACACACACAGCCAGCAGCGTGCTGGAGGAGAAAGGGGAAAACATCGTGGAATCGTGAGTGGATGCAAACGGAGCTGCTCTCCAACCCCGAATTCTCCATTCCAGCTCTTTGGGCCTCAGTTTCCTCAACTGGAAGTGGAGACATGAATGTATGTCTTGTCTGGCAATGGGCAGAATTAGAGCAAATATAGATAAAGCTTCAGCAGACTGCCTGGCTTAGACACGTGGCTAGTGCAAAAGCCTATTTTCTGTCTTTATTTCTGTTTATAAACTAAAAAGTTAAATCCAAGGCTTGTACCTTTTGAAAAGGAAGAAAATAAATTATGCCGCTATGTTTAATTAGGACCAAGAATATGTCCAGCTCTGTGCGAGATCCTGGACAAAGCTGAATTAGAAAGGGCTCCGTGGCCCACCATTGCCTGTCTCTCCACATCAGCTAAGCAGAAGGTGAAAAGCCTTCACGTTTTCAGTTTACCATCTGCCAGCCCTGGATTGTAAACCAGCAAGATGCAGGATCAGGTGCTTCATTTTCCTTCCCTCTAAGAACTGGGAGAAAGAACTTTCAGCAAAGGCACCAATTCTGAGCTCTGGCACTACGATCTGGGATATGAATTCGACCAGATTCAATTCCGCAGACGTTGATTGAGATGTGTGCCAGGTGCTTGCAGGGGATACAAAGATGAATAAGGCAGGTCCCCTGCCCTTGAGGAGCTTATGGTCAAGCAAGAGATTGATGCTGCATAATATTGCTCCATTATTAATTTTTCAAAACTGTGGTGGTGCTACCGGAACAGTGTGCCATGGGAGGATAGGAGAGAGCTGCAGAAAAACAGCAGGTCCTCAAGCTCAGGAGTCCTCAAGAATCTTAGATTTCTCTCTGTCGGAACAGTTTTGCCAATTTCCTTAAGAACTGAAGGACCTCAATTGAAAGCCCCTTCAGCTCATGAGCCCTTTTATGCGATTGCAGTATTTACAAGTCATACATCATACGAAGTGCTTCATCATACTGGACAGCAAGCTTTGTCCTAATCAGTTTCTTCCCCGCCAAGATGAAGGGGAAGGAAATATGACATGACCCTGTTCCCATAGGCAGCCATCCTGCAAAACAGACTGGCTGTCAGGCTTGCAAGCATTGAGACACTTCAGAAATATCTGCGGGGCTGTGAAGACCTGCTGAGGCAAAAGGACAATTCTAGTGACTTGGCTAAATTGTGAGAGCAGGGCTGAAGAGAGAGAAGTGTGGGGCAGTCTGAATGCAACCCTGGCCTCACAATTGCGTTTCTAGTCAGGAGTGTTGGTCTTTATCGGAGCCCCCATGTGGTTGATTCGCCACAGCTGAAGTGAAATGATGGCTTAAGCGAGCCATTCACATGGAAAAGGAGAATGGAGGATGGGTTGCTTTTCAGTACCTCATGAAAGCAGCAGCCATGACATGATCTGGGTTACTAACAGGAAGAAGGATGATAGCTGTGATTGCTTGAGCCCTAAGCATCATCTGTGGATGCTCTCATTTAATCCTGGCAACAACCTTATGAGATAGAGTCTGTTAGCCCCACTTTATAGATTAAGAAACTGAGGATCAGAAGGTCAAATAACTTGCCAAAGGTCACACAGCAAGTGAGTGGTAGAACTGTGGTTTGAACCCAGCAGTCTGGCACTCTTTCTCAAACATTCCAGTGTAATGCCACTCAGAACAGACAACTTTTTCAAGCACATATATATACAGTAGTCCCCCTGTCTCTGGAGGATACGTCCCAAGACGCCCAGTGGATGCCTGAAACCCAGGATCATACCCAGCCCAATATATACTAAGTTTTTCCTATCCATACATGCCTATGATAAAGTTTAATTTATAAATTAGGCACAGTAAGAGATTAACAACAATAACTAATAATAAATAGTTGGGGCCATTATTGAGTAAAATAAGGGTTACTTGAACACAAGCACTGCAACACCTCGACAGTTGATCTGATAACCGAGATGGCTACTAAGTGACTAATGGGCAGGTGGCGTACACAGTGTGGATATGCTGGACAAAGGGATGATTCACGTCCCAGGTGGGACAGAGCGGGACAGAGCGGGACAGTGCCAGATTTCATCACGGTACTCAGAACAGTGTGCAATTTAAAACTTATGTATCGTTTATTTCTGGAATTTTCCATTTAATATTTTCGGACCTCACTTGATCAAGGGAAACTGAAACCTCGGAAATCAGAACTGCAGACAAGGGGGAACTACTGCATTAGATTAGAAATATCCATAGGGCAGAGACCTTTTTGTCTTGATTCAATGTGTAAAACAGTACTTGCAGAACAGATTTTTTTCCCCGCAGACATTTATAAGGCACTATGTGCCAGGCTAGGTTTTAAGCACTTTACAAATGTTAATTTTCTTAAGCCTCATATCAAGTTTATAAGGTAGCCACTATTGTTATTCTCATATTACATATGTGCAATGTGTGAAAAATATGGCACACAGAAGTTAAGTAATTTTCCCAAAGTCACATGGCTGGCAAGTGATGGAGCCAGGGTTCAAACTTGTAGATTTTGGCCCCAGTGTTCATGTTCATAAACCCCACAGATCAAAGTCAAGTACTAGATTAGTATTTTTTGAACTTTTAAACCTTAACGCCAAATAAGAAATATATTTTACATTGCAAATTATGACACATATGCATACATACCTACAGATACAAATAAATCTCCATGAAATAATACATACCCTATAAGAATTGCGGTCTGAAATTTCTATTATATTTTATTGGAAATAAAAATGCTAGTTGTGATTGGCTAAACGGATTTTGCACTCCACTTTGACACATGCAGTCAAAACCAGTGTACTTGACCATCTCCACAGCTGACCCAGGAGAGAAATATGACTATGGTTCAGGCTGAGAATTTCCCTACCAGAACTAGGCAAACCCAAAGGATGACTCTATACATAGAAGATGATCAGAAGGTCAGGATAGTTCCCCAAAGCTATCCCAATTAGACCCCTGGACAAACACGGGGGTATAGGCAAACCACTGAACCAAAATCAGTTTTGATTTATCTAAATCCTATCCTTCACCTTTCTTATCGTATTAATTAAGTCATAAACATCTTTCCCAGTGGCCAGGAAAGCACCTCTTCAGTGAATTTCTCATAGATGTTCCTAATATTTGAGACTTTGGAAACAGAGATGGGTTTAAAAGCTTGGCTTTTTCCCTGCAGTGTCACTGTAGGCAAGAGCCAGAATAATAAAAACTCCTTAGTCATGACTCCTGGGAAGCCAATAGTGTAGCTTCACATGACAGAGCAAGACTGGCCCTGCAGACTAGGAGGGATGAGGTCAGCTTACTCCAAGGTAATCAGGGTCCATCCGTGGTGTGGGACATGCTCCCAAGTGTTTGCTTCAAGCACCCTGGGCAGTGAGTAAGAGGTCATTGTGTTTGTCGATAAAACACTTGCCTCAGTTTTCTGTGTTGTTCTTCTAAGTGATGGGAGACATTGCCTCTGGGAGCCTCTGTTGTCTCTGCTGGTCTCTGCTGTGTGGATGTGAAGGTCACTGTCAAGCTCTGTCTCTATGAGAGGGAGGATTTTCAAGGACAAGTCATCACACACTTAGTCTATTCCCAGCATCATGACCTTTCTCCCAAGGATTGAGTTTAGGATTTAATAAAATTGAAAACAATCATCCTTCTTTGTTACGTACATAAAATTAGAACATCATAAACTCAGAATGAACATTTTTGCAAAATCATAAGTAAGTTCATATTTAATACACTAAAAAATCCTAAATATCATATTATCATTGGATTATGATGATGATATTATTCACCTTTGGTAGGTTCTTTTTATTATCATTATTGATGATGGATTTGCCTGCTGTCCCATGACCAGTAGAGTGAAATTTTGAGACACATTAAACACGATAAAAATATGGCTGTTGAGGCAGCCAAGATTGGGGTTTCCGGTTGATACCAGAGGGTATAGCGTGATACAGACATGGCCATTTCTTACCAGCCAGCCAGGAGGAAAAGCCCTTGCAGCATCTCACACTTTGTTTGTGTCTGAGATTCTGGGAAAGAAAGGGTTACAGTGCAAGGTTCCAGAAGATAAGTAGAAGAATTTTTAAATGACAGTTGAAAAGGACAGAGATGGAAGAGGAATAATGTGATTTGCAGCTGTTGGAGTCTCTGGGATAGAGATTGAAAAGGATGGGAAACTAAGCTATGTTACCAAGTTAAAATAAGCCTGCAATGGACCAAAGGAGAAGATGCTGCTGATCGGACCTCTCAGATCAGTATTTCTCAACGTGCTGTATGTGGAACACTTGCATCAGATCACGGAGATGCAAGCAGGGGAGCAGGGCGTGTTGGTTCCTTGGTCTCACCCAAAGATCTGGGAATCTGCATTTTTAAGCAACACTCCAAGTGAGTATCAAGTATACTAAAGCTTGGGGATTAGCGAGGATGATCCTAATTTGGAGATCGAAGAGCCATTTTATGGGGCAAATGTGCATGGCTCTGTAGAAGGTGATTAGAATGAGCTTGACTGATACAGCTTGTGTCCCTTTTGACCTC